GTGTGCACCTGCCAAGGTGGCTAGCTAGCTAGCTAGCTGACCACCACTCACATTGGGACGTGATCTCGCTCACGGCTCGAAAAACAAACTCTTAAAAATGAGGTTGCAGATCTCAAACTGCACTCACTCCCATAGTTAGCTGGCTAACAGTAACCAAACTCTATGATTAGTTTGGTTTATGGAGTTTAATGTCTGTTATCAACCGAGCTTATGCGAGATGCCGTCAACTGCCATGGCTGGGATCGAACTCGTGTCTTTCGAGTGAGTAGCCATGCACCATAACTGCGGGGCCATCACAACAGCGTAAAAGATGAATGTTCGTGATGTGTTGCAGCTTATGAAGAATGTGCTCAGCTGGCAAGGTCTGCTGGCTGAAGAACCACTCAAGGAGCTCTCCCTGTGCAGCCTCCTGAACCGTTATCTCATTGTGGCCCTACAGGCCGGCCTCTCTCAAAGGGACACAGTTGAAAAATGCACTCGCGTGAGTAACTTGCCTTTCCATGGCCATTCTAAGGCTCATTTGTAGTTTATTTTGTTTGTTATTCTTTCCATGGAACGTATCCTCATGGTATTTTGTGAAAATTGTTTGATTTTTTTTGCACTTGGGGAGGTTCATTTTGAATAAAATATCCTGGAAAGCAACTGAACTGGGCCAAGTCTGCCAGTGCAGGCATGACTCAGTGATGTTTTGGTTTGACTTCTGGCTGGAAGAGAGAAACAAATTAAACTAATGGCTTCACGGAAAGTTGGCTTGCAAAAACAAGAGATCGGCAGCAGTTGAAGTGTGTCCACTGACTGCAATTGTGCCACATGCTTATGCAGCTGGTGTCAACGCTGCCGGCGTCGTGGCTGCGCGAGAGCCAGCTTCCACAGCTGGAGTTGTTAACACGCTTTCTACGTCTCTACCTGCAACACCTGGAGGGTGTCTCTGGTTCTTCCAACCTGGGACCAGATATGCATGCCAGGTATATATGTGACAAGTGTTTTGAACAAAAAATTGTTTGAAATGACTGTAGGATACCAGCTCTTTTGCATGTGAGATTTTACCAACAAGCATTCCTTGAATACTGTGGTAGCACCTGGGAGGGCCAGTGCCACATGAGTAAATCTCTTTTTTTTTTTTTCCCCAGAGATGCTCTAGAAGAAGTTGGAAAGCTACTGGCTTCACTTACAGACAAGACGAAATGATGAGATATATGTTGGAAATAAAAAGACACACCTTCACATTGGCATTCTTGCAGCAATGTGGGAGTGCTATTATGTAATGTGTGTAGTCACTTTTCGTCCTTCATTATAATTTTCTCAGTGTTATTTCAATAGGTTGCCATTGATTGCAGTTTCAAAGTGGAACTGTCCAGTACCTGAATTTGTTTAAGGGCTTTGTCAGCTGACAACTGACAGAGCCCTTAAACTTTGTTGTGTTGAATATTGCTAGTGACACTGCTGTATTTATTGTTAAACAAGTATTGCTATCAATCGCTGTTCTCCTTCCAAGTCATGTTTGCCTGCATTAGCGTAAAATAAAACAATATTTGACTTGTTTGGTAGCTTGTATTCTCCCTCTCTTATTTGTTGTTTGGCTTCTGCTTACCCGATGTGCAGCTACAGCAAAGGCTGTTCGGTATGGTTATAATGCTACATAATTTTGACTTCTCCATCCACTCGTCCTCGCCGCCCCGCCGCGGTGGTCTAGTGGCTAAGGTACTCGGTTGCTGACCCGCAGGTCGCGGGTTCGAATCCCGGCTGCGGCGGCTGCATTTCCGGTGGAGGCGGAAATGTAGGCCCGTGTGCTCAGATTTGGGTGCACGTTAAAGAACCCCAGGTGTTCGAAATTTCCGGAGCCCTCCGCTACGGCGTCTCTCATAATCATATGATGGTTTTGGGACGTTAAACCCCACATATTGATCGATCATGTGGGATTTGTCCTTGCCAGTGGTTCTGACGGATTTCTCCCGTGTGCACGAAACAAAGTTTCGGTGGTCGGCCACTGTCCATCAATTAGAAGTGTTATGTGATCACGTGTTGAACTGAGGCACTAGAAATGCAGCGTAATGGCGAGCGACGCATACATTTGTTTATATAATGTAAATCGTCTACTCTATCCACGGATTGAACGAGACGATTCTGGGAGGAAAAAGCGTTGGAACTTGAACTTTATTTATTCCAACATACCATCATTTGGGATGATGAGAGCCGGGGTCAAAAAGCCTCTTCACGGGCTTGACTAGGACCACGACCCCGTACAAAGTGGCCTTTTACCCCGTACAAAGCACAGCAGGCCTGGTCGCGAGGAGATTCGGTCCAAGCGGCACGCGATGGTAAATACATGGAGAAAGGAAAGCTTCCTCCATGGTAAATAGATGACGTACGACTTTGAAGAAAACGCCCCTAGGCTGGTTGGTTCACGATCATGAGATGCGAGGTGAAAGGACACGAGACCACGGATGGGTAAATTACGAAGGAGGTCGTCGGAACCGCCCGAAAAGGCGCGTCACGAAGTGCTACAATTTTTACGAGTACATTTTCCAACGAGCAGTGCACGTAGTCAGCTGACGTACCACATTAAGGTGCTGCAGCAGTAAAAAAACAATAAATTTGTCTGGACTGCAATCGGATTTCGCTGGCTCCCTATGACAGTACGCCGCCCCACCCCGTCCCTCGCTTTTGGGTGTGCGTTGTATGGTAGGAGATAAAAATTACTGGACGTTCCAGAACAAATTCGGGACATGCAGTTGCTCCGACAAGGATTCGGGACGCTACATGACGATAGTTATAGCGCGAGAACAGAACGAAGACACAGATAGTCATATCTATAACTAACTATAACTATCGTCATGTCACACCAACTAGCCCAAGCTGCCACACTTCTAAGCTGCATGAAAAATCTGGACAATTCCGCAAAATCCGCGACGGTTAATCCTTGACCGGGGCGCTTGTCCAGTCTTTCAGCGCTGTTAGGAGCGACACATAGACTATGTACCTCCATTGACAGTTGCCGGTTTTGCCAAGTTTGACCAGCGCGGCAGCGCCTGGTCACAGGACACGGCCTGGTTCGACTTGATGTGCCACGCGCCATGTACAGAATTATCTATGCCTAGCCAACCTAGCCACAGAACACCTATACACTACCATACCTATACCTAGATACAGTGTACGAGAACTGTAACCTAGCTCTGCAGTGCCTGCACAGCTGCTGCTGCAAAAAAAATAATAAACATTGTGATGCGCGCTTTTTAACGTTAATATTCAAATTCATCAAAACATCATCATCAGCCTGACTACGTCCACTGCAGGACAAAGGCCTCTCCCATGTTCCGCCAGTTAACCCGGTCCTGTGCTTGCTGCGGCCAATTTATACCCGCAAACTTCTTAATCTCATCTGCCCACCTAACCTTCTGTCTCCCCCTAACCCGCTTCCCTTCTCTGGGAATCCAGTTAGTTACCCTTAATGACCAGCGGTTATCCTGTCTACGCGCTACATGCCCGGCCCATGTCCATTTTCTCTTTTTGATTTCAACTATGATATCCTTAACCCCTGTTTGTTCCCTAATCCACTCTGCTCTCTTCTTGTCTCTCAAGGTTACACCTACCATTTTTTTTTTTTCCATTGCTCGCTGCGTCCTTCTCAATTTAAGCTGAACCCTCTTTGTAAGTCTCCACGTTTCTGCTCCGTAGCTAAATACCGGCAAGATACAGCTGTTATATACCTTCCTCTTGAGGGATAGTGGCAATCTACCTGTCATAATTTGAGAGTGCTTGCCAAATGTGCTCCACCCGATTCTTATTCTTCTAGTTACTTCAATCTCGTGGTTCGGCTCTGAGGTTATTACCTGCCCTAAGTAGACATAGTCTTTTACAACTTGAAGTGCACTACTGCTTATCTCGAAGTGCTGCTCTCTTCCGAGGTTGTTGTACATTACTTTCGTTTTCTGCAGATTAATTTTAAGACCCACCTTTCTGCTCTCCTTGTCTAACTCCGTAATCATGAGTTGCAATTCGTCCCCCTGAGTTACTCAGCAATGCAATGTCATCGGCGAAGCGCAGGTTACTAAGGTACTCTCCGTTAACTCTTACGCCCAACTGTTCCCATTCTAGGCTTCTGAAAACTTCCTGTAAGCACGCGGTAAATAGCATTGGGGAGACTGTGTCCCCCTGCCTTACACCCCTCTTGATTGGTATTCTGTTGCTTTCTTTATGGAGCACTATAGTAGCACTGTCATCAAAACAAGACTTTACTAAAATGGAGTCTTCAATTATGTTACTAAATAAAAAACCATCTGCCGTCGTTCCGTCGATAGCTCAGTTGGTAGAGCGGTGGACTGTAGAAGTATCACTGTAGACATCCATAGGTCGCTGGTTCGAATCCGGCTCGACGGAGTTTTTTTTTCTTTCCTATCAAGTGTTTGTGTTTTTAATTTTTACTTTTTAGAAAGCTTTTAATTGGAGTTCATTACTGCTTTAGAGGCATCCAAGGCGCAACAAAGTGCATTAAAAATTCAGAGGGACCACAGCACAGCCAGCTTTGTACGTGTGTCGGGCAGGTGTGGGAGGGGGCATTCCAACTCGCTTGAAGTTTTTAACTTCAACATGTACCCACATACAAACCCACGCACGAACGTACTTAAAGCCATGGTTACGCCCCCCCCCCCCCCAAAAAAAAATCTGGTTATGCAACAGAGCTTCTGGAGAAGATGTGTACTACCGACTACCAAACAGCGTTGGAGGCAAGCCGGGGGGGGGGGGGGGGGGGGGAGTAAGGTTGAAGCTTTTCACCTCAACTTACTAAATGTGAAACAGTGGGTAGGGAGAAGACCCTTTACTAGGCGCGTAGCCAGAAGTTTTTTGGGGGGCGGGGAGCAACCCCTCGAAATGGCTATTTTTTCGCTCTCTATGCCATGGTAAAAAAATTACGGGGTGCGGGGTCACGTGCCCGGTGTAGCACCCCTTGGTATTTTAGTGCAGATTCTTTTCTTATGTTTGAGTCCGAAAATTCACTTTGAACTGTTGGCATGGGTCTGGACTTTTATTTGATAAGAGGCAGAGAAGTCTGTCTGCTATAAAGGTACAAAGGATGTCAGACATGTCATTCAGATCATAGCAATGACATTTCAAAACATCTTTGCTAAAGACTAATATGCCAAAGTTGACAAGGTACATATGACAAAAATAAGTCTACCTATTGCGAACATAAGCCAGGCTGTCTGAGGCACACATTTCTGTTCATTTAACCCATCTTCGTACTGCGTTTACCTTTAGTTTCAATGTACATCGAATAAGAAAATAAGTAAATGCATGTCCATATGTAGATATTCTAATACAAATTGAATAGTAGCTCCACGTGTTCAATTCACAAATCAAATATCTACTATTTGACTTCACAAATAGCTTCCACTCATTAACTTGACAGTCCCAATGTCTTGGCATTGCCCCTTAATAGCCTTGAAGGAAATTTGATATTTATATGATGCAAAACACTTGAATGGACGACTTCCCAGAGAAGAACACATTTGAGGGCCCATCCCCCTCCTTAACTTTTGTATGTATAAGCCAAGGATGGGTATAGACACACATGCATGGCTTTAGATATTAGACTTCCCGTAAGCCAACACCGCCTTATAAAAAATCCTGTATCTGCCTTTGGTCAACACATTTTTGTTTGCATGCTTATTTTGGGGCCAAAACTATGGTAATTACATAATTTGCAGTGTGAGATATAGCAATTTATAGCATGCTAAAGCTGTTCCACTCTGTAATTTCTAGTTCACATTTCACTTGTCTATGGCTATACATTTTTTTTTGTGTGTGCACAAATTAGAGTAAATAGGGCAAGGACATTTGTCACACCAGTTTACTTTTTCTGACATTTAGTAAGTCACCTCTGTTCTTGTTCAAGCGCATTTGTACTCACACTGTAACTCATCCACTCCTGCTTGAGGCCTGAAAATTCAGGGCAGCAGTACTCGATAAATAGTAAATAATACATGTACTAAAGGCATATTGAAAATATAACTTTTTATTAATAATCACACTTCTTCAGCACATATATTAAGCATCATATGTTACATATGTACAAGAGCCACTATAGTGATAAGGAAAACAAATAAATTAGTGCAATCTAGTGATATTTGCTTGCTACAAATCTCTGGTATGTAACAAGTGAATGCTGGTTCGGCATCGGTGCCCCAGTTTTCCCTTTCTGTACGTAGACTTGGTAGATGTCTCTTGATGACCGAGGAACCATGGGTGGGGTGACTTCATAGACAGAGTCGATGGTAAAAGCACTCTGCCTTATTCTAGGGAAAAAAAAGAAACGAGATAGAATCAGAAAGACAATGTTATTCCAGATTTTATGTGATTGGTGGGCTAAGCTTTATGCTTAAAAACGCTGCTTTACCCACACATTCAAGCATGCCAATTCTCATTACGTTATTAACCCCTTGCAAACAATTGTTGGGCCTTGCCAGACAATGCAACATGGCCGCAGCAGCCCCTGGTCGGGCACTGCTGGGCAAGTTCTATCGCAGTAGATTTACGTTCCTTTTTTTTCGCTAAACTATGCCTCATTTTTAGAAGAGCAAGTAAACCTCTTTTACTTGAGCTTTATGTCATTCGGTTTCGGATCAGAATGGATGGAATCTGGGAAAAGGTTTTGGACCAAAAATTTTTGAAGAGAGGCCTTTATGATACCTACATTGTTCGAACTTGAACGAACATGGTCACAAGCTTATTTAACGGCCTTCTGGTAACATATCAACAAGCAACATAAGCATCTGTGTGCAAAGACAAACTTGTCAAAAATTAAAACAAGCTTAACGTACAACTGCAGAGATCTCTTTGGTGTTGAGATGTTGCTGGCATCAGTCTTGCAGGTCATGCCTGACATTTTTCCCAGCGTTACAAACCTGTAACAAAGATATGACATGCAAGATCCTGCTGAGATCAGGCAGCACGTGAAACTACTAAGAACAGATGAATGCCACGAGGGATAGTCACTTAGTTTGTCACTGACCGGTAAGGCAGTTGTACTGCAGAACAGAGTGAACCATGCTAAATATAAGTGTTGTCGCGCACTCAAGAATTACAAGCAACAGCATCTTTAAATAAAAATGGGCTATTGTGCAATACCTCTGACATCGTCACATCACATTTAATGTGCTAAAATTAGAAAGATCCACAGAAGATGCTTCTACCTTAATTTTTTGCCAAGCTTGACATTTACAATGAAAAAATAATGTATTGGTTTCAGGTTCAAGCACGAAAGTTGAAAGGAATTTGGACTCTCATTTTTTTTCCACTGGCAACTGTCTCCATGCATGCCTTGAATGAATAGTTCCACTACAATCAAAATGATTTAATATTTCTCTTCAATGCATCTTCAATTCTCTGTTTTGAAGCAAACTGTTTCTCTGCTTTGAAGCAAAAGTGTTAAGCCTGTAAGTGCCTGAGTAGGCAGAACCTTCTGAAATTAACAAATATAGTAGTATTGCTCTATTTGACATGGCCTCCAAACTGAATATCCTTACACGTAACTTTTTCAAATAATTTCTTTTAAATGCTATTTCAATTTATTTAGTGCTATCAAGCATAAAATTGGAGAAAATGTGGGACAAGTTTCATCCTTACAGTCACAGTAGAGATGAAACACAAGAAGTTTTGTATCTCACCATTCTGCACCACCTGGGGAGTCAGATTCTCAGGCTAAACTGCTGTCATTCGAACATATTTATGAGAACAAAGTATTAACTAAACTGATTTGAGTTTTTACAAAGCAATTATTCAGAATAAAATGTGTAATGTAAGCAATGTGCCAGAAACTGTTGGATATGCTCGGGTGTGAAGATCGTTCTATACAATCACTGTAAACGGCTGCTTATTTTCTCAAAACTGTATTTCATGGTCAACTTAATTCACCACTGCTACTCTTTGACACTGTCTATAATAATGCTATTCATAAATCTCTATTAATAAATATATATATTGACAAACTGTTGCCCTAATTGCAAACATTTCAGATGGTATGAATGTGCACATAGTACATCACACTCACTACTCAAATCCATGCTTGCTTTCCTTTCTGCGATTAGCATCAATGCAATTAATAATGCAATCTTAAGTTGACATACTTTTCAACAGCATCGTGCAGCAACTTGCAATCTTAAGTTGACATACTTTTCAACAGCATCGTGCAGCAACTATTATCAAGGATTCTAATCTGATCCGATAAAGAAAATGATAGCAATGGAAGATATGAAATTGAAGGACATAAATAGGATGCAGACATCGTTGTTGCTTACCTCTTGTATATGGTAAGGTCCTTGGGTGAGGGCTCGTGTATCTCCCTGCCATAAGTCTGCAGCATTGTTTGAAAAACGGACTGTGCGAGATAATAGGAAAGTCATGTAAACGATAACATGACGACACCGCAAATTCACTCTTTTCAGGAACTACTTATTGTTCATGGCTCCTTTCAATATTTAGCAAAATCTTTGCAATCTTTGCAGATTTGCACATATCTTCATGTGGTTTTAAGTCGCATCTAAAGCCGGTTTTTAGTGCTTGAATGCTGCCAGTGTGAAGGATCAACATAGTGACTACTTCATCGTATTGTGTTGCTCACACACAATGATGAATGAACACAAAGCCTGCTAAGAACGTGATGTTCTAGTAAAAACAGGATTTTGAATTGTAGGTCAATTTATCCAACAGTGCACAGTAAAGGCTCACTAATTCAAAGCTTTATGAAAACAAAATGCTTGCTTAGGTACATAAAGTCAAGTAAAATAACTCTTAGGGTCATAAAACTAAGATTGACGAAAGCCAAAGAAAGTTGCATCGATTATGGAATGACAAGCAGTGCATGACATGTTAATGCAGTAATATTTGCACTTTCAAAAGTTGAGACAGCTGTGTTCATGAGCCATGACCACAATAGTAGCTGTGTCTGTGGTCATACCCATATGTATGAAGAATGTTAGTGTGACATATCTTCGCCACTAGCTCCCACACATTGGGCAACGTCTATTGAACACCTGCATTCCAACTTTCTAAGAAAGAGTGACACTTCAAGAAAAAATCATGTTTAACTTAAATTACCGGGGTTTGTTCAGGGTGTAGTTGAGGTGTTGTCGAGTTTTTACCCGAAAATGATGGAACCTAAGTACAATATACGCTCCAGCAAAGCTCAGAGGACAGGCAAATATGTTCATTTAACAGGAGTTCCATTTATTGAGGGAACATGAGTGATGAGTTCAAGTACAAAACCAATCATAGCAGAGGCAGTTGTTTCACTTAAGCAGCCATTTCATTTAAGTGGTTTTTGTTTACTGAGAATCTACTGTATATGTAAATAAAGCTGAAAGATTTCTTGACATAGTCTTTCACCAGAGACAAAGTTGGTACTGTGACAAACCTCGAATGTGAAAGGCTTTTGCGACAGGTCATTTGAAGATGACTCGTCACTCTCAACCATAAACTCTGGGTCTGCGTCGCTTGAAAGTGAGCTGTCCGAGTCGCTGGCACCGCTGGAGGTGGACATGGTGGACGAGATGCCAGTCACAGAAGGGTTGAGCGGCTTGTTGCCACCAGCACTTTCGCGGTGCTTTCCGGGCCTGATCCGCACTGAAAACGGGCTGTAGTCCGTGGCAGAATTTGGCATGATGTCCCTATAGAGAGATCCAGCCATGCCAAGGTTAGAGAAACTACATAGACACATCAACCAACCGTCAAAAAAGGAGGTTGTCACTGGTCTACCTGTTGCTGACATGAAGGCAGTATTGAAATATAGGCTTGAGTGAGTTGATAGGGATTCATGTTTGTAAATGTCTGCTCTTTATGGTGATAGATGAAAGAAGTAGACAGGACGTGTGCAATTTCACAACTACCCCGTCTATCCCATCCTGTCCACTCATTTTGTCTATTGTTGAAACATTGTGAAGTGCACACACAAGTATGAAGGCAGCAGCACGAATCTGATTAAATCCATTTTAGTAATATTTGTTTTTGACAACAAAATGAATAGCATATATGACACTTGTAGCACTGCGAACATATTGGTTTTTGATTACATAGGAGACTTGGTTAGTTTGGGTGAATCAAAATTTATGCTTAACTACAGCTTAAAGGTAGATGTTAACTTAATCTTTTATTCATTATACACTCGCATTTATAGACTGTCATAACAAAGGGCTATACCTAGTGAAAGTAATTCTACTTACAAAAGAAATAATGGGGAAATTCGGTGTATTTATTGCTTTTACAAGTCTGAAAACGGGACACAAAGTGCTTCAGAGAAGAAATGTCGCTCATCCCCCTACGTAGGAATCGGTATAACACGAAAGTGAAACATGTCTTTACAGAGGTAGTTGATCTTTTATTGTGCATTGTTTAAGGTTAACGTTCGATGACAAAGAGCGCACGAGGTGACTTCCCGGATCGCTGTCTAGTAGGTGAACGTGATTACGTGTACAGTCGACTCTCGTTAATACGAAGTTCACGGGGACAGCGAAAAACTTCGAATTAAGCGGAATTCCAATTAACCACAATGAACGAAGAATACATTTATTTCAAAGCAGTTTATGAGAAAAAATCTGTGATAGCCGTTTTCTTCTGTTTGCTGAATCTTGCAGCAGAAAGCAAGTCCTGCAGGCTGTATATGTGCCCGAGTGCTTCCTCGGCGTCGCTCTCAGCAGTGAAAAACTGCTGTGCGAGGGCAAGGCCTTTGGCTACATAAGCAGCCCGCGGTAGTGGCTCACTTGCGGCGTCGTCACCGTCAACCTAAGTTTCGTGACTAGGCTCGCTGGGCCGAACCATCTCCGCAATCTCAGCGTCCAACAGTGCACCGCACGTTTCTACCGAACTGTCAGTGGCAATGTAATCCTTGAAAGGGACGTTGCCGAGAGCTGGCAGGAGACCATCAACGTCAAGCTCACTTGTGTCTTCTTCCCCCACTGCACAAGACGCATCATCATCTGCACCACTTGGAATGAAGCCGCACGCCCTAAAGCAGTTCGCAATGGTTTCATCCCATCCTCGCGCCAGCATATGAATAGCACTGATAAAGCTCACCTCATACTGACTTGCACTGTCCATACACAAAAGCAACCGCTCAAGAAGATGCTTCATGTACAGTACTTTCACGTTTTTGATGATCCCCTGGTCTAGTGGTTGTAACACCGATGTAGTGTTCGCTGGCAGGTAGGCGACACGTATTGCACTCAAGGGCGGCACATTCATGTGTGCACTGCATTGGTCCACAAGGAGCAATACATTGCATTTAGATAACGCGAACTTGCGATCCAATTTTGTCAGCCAATCCTTGAATAGGTCTGCGGTCATCCACGCTTTCCTGTTAGACGCGTAGTCGACTGCCAGCGTTTTCACGCCCTTGAAACATCTAGGATTAGCAGCTTTGCCTATCACAAGCAGGCGACATCGCTCAGTGCTTGTCATGTTCGCCGCTATCAGCACCGACACTCTTCTTTGCTACGCTTCCCTCCAGCACAGTCATCGTCCTTAAAGGTCAGCGTTTTCTCGGGCAACATTCTGTAAAAAGTGCTGTCTCGTTGGGACTGAAGATATCTTCCGGCCGATATACTCCCAAGTATTTACAAAGCTGATTTTCCCTCCACGTATCACATGTTTCAGCGTTGATGGCAGCCTTTTCCCCGTTAACGCTTTTAAACACCATATCCTGGCGCTGCTTGAACCGTGTGAGCCACCCATCGGACGAAGCAAAGTTCTCGATTCCTAGCATAATCACAAGCGATGACGCTTTCGCTGCAACGATATCACCGCTGAGAGGAAGTCTGTTGCTTCGAGCCTCCCGAATCCAGATGAGCAGCGCTTGCTCTAACTCCGGGTGGGCGCCGGTGCGCATTCTCTTGCGAGACGTCTTGAACTGGTCATTTTCGAATGCGAACCGAGCGCTTGCTCTTCAGAATGTTAGACAGGGTACTAGGCTTGATGCCGTATTTCTGCGCAATATCTTGCTTGGCGGTTGCTCCTTGTTCAACTTCTTTCAAAACTTTGACTTTCATCGCCATGTCAAGCGTCTGATAAGGCTCGCGAGTTGCCATAGTAAATGCACGTGGATTTTTGTCGCACATGGAAACGCTGAGTCCGCACACGACCGTAACGAGATCAACAATGAGGCCCGGAACCGGAACCGCCGAAGCAGACGCTTCTTGATCTGGGGCGCTGCATGCAACTGCGATGCCATCAGCTGACGCTTTGAGCTGCGGCGCTGTGGTCAACTGCGATGCCCTTGGGTGCCGGTCGGACACGCATTGTTGTTTAGCACTTCGAAAATAGGAAATTTAACAAACATTACGATTTCCTCCGGGAATTCGATTGAAAATAAATTCGAATTAGGGGGGACGCGGGTCTTAGAATGGTGAAAAATGGCCAAAATGTCGATTTTGAGAAAATGCGATATTTGAAATTTTTAGACCTATAAGCACGTGTCCTCAAATTGTGAACACTGAATTCAATTAGTAAATGGATTAAAATTGATTATGAAGTCGCCACGGTAGCCGCAAAACAACCCACGGCAGATTAAATTCGCTCAAACTTCCCGCGCGCGCCACCGGCGAGGCAGTCGGCCGATCGCCGCCATCTTGGGCTTGTTTTGAAGCTGATTCTTTTGTGCGCATTTTGCCACCCTTCAAAATGGCGTCACTTAAACAGAACGGCTGCCCTTGCCCCTTTTCCGGAGCCCCCCTTCCAGGCCGCTGATTAGCCGGAGCGCGCGCGCACTAGGCGAGCCCCCTGTTCCTCACTTTCCAGTGGCTGATGCGGCCAAAGTTGCCCGCGCTTTTTTTTGTATATTGTCATCGGCCGCCCGGTTCCCTTTCGCGCACGTTGTCATCTGCTTCTCGCACGTGCCTGCTTGTGCTACGCGACCGACACACCGACTTTCCGTCTTTTGCCGGCATGATTGGAGACGCTCGCCTAAAGAAGAAGACACGCCAAGCGTACGGCAAGGAACGGAGGCGCCGTAGAAATCCCGCCAGAAGAAAGCAGCCGACAACTTGCAGCCGATTTCGCCCGATGTCGCCGAAGCGGCGCATTCCAATGACGGCGTGCAGCCGCGGCCGCTTGTGTCTGAAGTGGTGCACTCTCCTGCGCCTTGCAGCAGCACTCATCGGATTGTGTCGTCGTCAGATCGTCATCTTGCACTTCCAGCAGCATTCTAGACCGCATTGACACGGCGTTTTATTCAGCGGACGAGTTTGCTGAGTGCGCAAGAAATGCAGCGGGCTTGAAGGCATCACTCGCATCGCAGTGCGCGATCGAACGTAAGTTCGAGTTACTAGATATTGATCTGGAGGATGGTGGCAAAGAAAACGGGACAGAATTTATTATTGTTGATCTGGCGGCAATACGCTCGTTATTTGGACTTGTCGCGTGCCCAAAATGCGGTGAAAGAAGCGTCACTATTTCAAAGGCCAAGAAAGAGTACGGGCTGTGTTTAAAGCTCATAGTCACGTGCGGCAGTTGTGACTTTCGCGAAGAGCATTTTTCGTCCCCACGTATAGCCGACGAGACCGACGCAAAATAAGGCCGTTTTAAGTTAATATGCGTGCCATGAAGGCCATCAACAGTATCGGCAAGGGGGCAACGGCTATGTCGGACTTCTTCGCCGGGATGAATATTTCGCATCGAGGGCTTCACCACAAGAGTTACCAAAGCCACATGAATATTGCCACTTACTTCTAGTAGTGGGTCGTATGCCAAGGTGAAGGCACACACCACAGAGAAGAAAGAAGTGCGCGTGGACCCCCGCTCTGGCAAACAAGCCCAATCGACGCGCTTGGTTAGAGCCCTGTTGCTCTGACATCAATAAACCTTGTCGACACCCCCTGGAGCGACGTGACAATTGGTGGAGGTGCGAGGTAGCCCCTCACAGATGTTTCAGACCCCTCCTGGAAGCGGCACCACAAGCCCAGTGCGAGTCCACACTACCGTTCATCGGACAAGCCGCAGGATCAGGGGATTGCCACCCGAAGCTGACCCTACAGTTCACACAAGTATGATGAGCACGTCCATTCAAACCACTCTAACAGGTACGGGAAACCCCCCGGTGACTCGGTACACCCTCGAACTCCACAGGTTCCGACACCGTTTCATGGCACCGAGCTCGAAGACGTCGAAGACTGGTTGGTCGACTTCGAACACGTGGCTGCTTTGAACGACTGGAACGACGCGGCCAAACTACGGCGTGTTTACTTCTATTTGGAGGATGGAGCACGTACCTGGTACATGAATCACGAGGAACAGATGACATCGTGGCCCGAATTCCGCCGCCGGCTGTTGGACACTTACAGAAGTGCTGATCGCCACGAACGAGCGGAGCGAGCGATCCAGGCCCGCATCCAGATGCCCAACGAAACTGTCATGACCTATGTGGAAGATATAACGCGTCTGTTCCGACGGGCTGATCCAAGTATGACAGAAGAGAAGAAGTTGCGTCACCTGATGCGGGGAGTTAAGGAGCAGCTTTTCGCTGGCCTTGTACGGAGCCCTCCGAACACGGTCGCCGAGTTTTTGTCTGAAGCCGTCACGATGGAAAAGATGCTTCAGCATCGATCCACCCTGTATGAGCGGCAAGTGAACACGTCCACTGCTCAAGTTCTGACGACATTTGGGAGCAACACCGAGTGTC